ACCACGCCGAGGAGACTGGGCTGCGTTGTCAAACAGCGACGCGAGGGCGGCCACCTGCTCGACGGCCAGCTCGGCGTCTGCGACCACTCCGCTCGTCGCCTCCGTCGCTGAACCTGCTTCCCTCCCCGCAGCATCGCTGAGCGCTCTCACGATCCCACGGGCACAGCTGAGGACCAGCCTCTCGTACTCGACGGTCGGGGTTCGGTCGCGCCTCTCCAGCACCGCTTTTGTGAGTGGCACGAGGCGAGTAGCGTCCGCACCGCGCTCGAGCTCAGCGCAGACACCCTCCATCCGTCAGCCTCGGCCGATTAGGCACCACCGCTCGAGTTGGGGTTCCTTGGCAGGGAGTGGTGGCTGTCCGGGCGGCTGCCCTTGATAAAAAAGAAAAAAAGTATTATCCTAACGGTGTGGGGGCGCGGAGGGCTTGTTGGCGAGCCAAAATGGTGTTTTCCGAGGCGCTGCGCTAGGCTCAGAGCGAGTTCGCGCTGCGCTAGGCTCAGACGGCGAGTTCGCGCTGCGCTAGGCCCAGACGGCGAGTTCGCGCTGCGCTAGGCTCACAGATGCGAGTGCGCTGCGATAGAAGAAAAAAACAGCTTCGAAACGACAACCGAAGGGAGGACTGTGTAGTGTAATCATGTGTCAAGAATCACGTGCTGCTGCTGCTGCTGCTGCTGCTGCTGCTGCTGCTGCTGCTGCTGCTGCGCGGCGAGCGCCGTCGCCGAGGCGGGCCTCGGCGGAGAGCGCGATTATGCGGCCTTTCCCGCGACCCGCACAAAGAAGAGGCGCCCTCCGTCAGCCTCGACCTGCCACCGGCTCGCGTCGACCGACCCGGCCGCGTGCCACACCTCCACAGCCCAGTGCGCCAGCCCGCAGAAGTTGCCCGTCGCCTCCTCGATGCCCCACCCCGTGGGCCACGCGGCCAAGGCGGTGCCGAGAGGCGGCGGCGGCGCCGCGGTCGCCTCGAGACGCGCCGCGACGGCGTCAAAGGCGATCCGCCTCGCGCCCGTCGCGGCCGCCTCGGCCAGCAGCGCCTCCCCGGCCAGCCGCGGGAGGTCGCCCTCCGTCTCGAACCAGCACGACGAGCGGCCGTCGGCGCACGCCTCGTCCCACGCCTTGAGCTGGCGGCCTTTGTCCGCCAGCGACCCTCCACTATGTTTCGCTAGTCACGT